CTTGAATGTTATCGACTGTAAGATCTTGGCTCAGGCGACGTTGTACGCGAACAAGGAGACGGATGACTACAAGGTGTCCTTCCTGCTAGGCGTGCTGGAAGCTTGGGGTCACACAACAGTCATACTTCAGACAGACCAGGAGCCTGCCACCATGGCTCTGGCGCAGGCAGTTCGAGATCGCAGATCACACTCAACCTTGGTGCGGGGATCACCGCCCTTTTCCAAGCAGAGTGCAGGCTACGCTGAAGGAGGTAACAAGCTAGCAGCTGGTCTACTTCGAGCCTACAAGCTGAAGCTGGAGCACAAGCTGGGCAGCGAGATCAAGATGACGGATCCGATCGTGCCATGGCTTGTGAACTCAGTGGGGTGGATGATCACCAGATTCCAGCCTCGCAGTCACGGAGGTTCCTCCTACAAGATGCTCTACGGCAAAGAGTACAACGGCGAGATTGCGGAGATGGGTGAGCAGGTCTGGTATCGGATCTCAGCCCGAGTTGCCGCGGGACGTGGCAAATGGGAAGCCCGCTTCGCAAAAGGAATCTGGGTTGGTAAGAGCGAGCTGGACGACACACATCTCGTGATCGATCCTGAACGTGGAGTGCAGAAGGTGAGAACGGTGCGAAGGATGCCTGAGGAGTTCAGGTGGCAGCCCGAGCTCATCCAGCACATCAGGGTGACGCCCTGGAAGCAGACGCCCGACAAGAGTTCAGGAACGATCGGACGCAGCATGTACATCACGGAGCGCATGATCGATGCTCATGGTCCTACCGACGATTGCAGGAAGTGCAGTACAGGATACGGTTCGCATTCGGCGGCCTGCCGACAGCGTTTCGAGACCATTCAGGCCGACTTGCTGCGCGAGAAGTTGGCGAAGGACCCTGTGGCCCCTGAGGCTACAGTCGTGGTGCCAGCGCCGGCTGCGGGAAGCCCCGCGCCTGGAGCCGCACCCGGAGGAGCAGCGGCATCAAGCAGCAGTGAGGTTGCGGTGAGCCCCGCACCTGCTGCCAGTGACGTAGCTATGGTTCCTGGCCCAGGAGAGGCTGAGGTGCAGACAGCCATGGACACGGAGAGTGGAGAGCTCAGGAGCGACTTTCGGCGAAGCGCCCCAGGTGAAGTTCGTGAAGGAGCTGAGGTCAAGAAGCCCAGGGTAGCAAGCATTGGGCATCTCTCTGTCTGTGAGTTGGCAGTCTGCGAGGAGGGCTACGACGAGAGCTTCGACCCCATGTGGGATCCACACCCAAAGCGCAGTGCGAGATGTTCCGAGAGGTGTGAGAAGCACTCATCACGATGCCAGCTACGAGAATGCCACCAAGCTGAGTGTGCATGCAGGAGATGTTTGATGAGCCACATCGGCACAATCAGGAGCCACTTAGGAGATCCTGAGGAGCAGCAGGTGGAGCAGATGGTTGAGGTGAGCGCCGAGCTGCATGAGAAAGACCAGTGGAGCCCAAAGACGATACACTACGATTACTACACTGGAGAGCCTCTGGATGAGGACCTGTATCAGAAGGGTCGCGACGACGAGCTGCAGGCCATGAAGGACTATGGGGTCTACGTGGAAGTGGCGACATCGACGGCGACCGACGGCAAGCACATTGGAGGGTTCCCGATAGCCCACATGAAAGAAGGAAAGGTCAGGTGGAGGTTCGTAGCAACCGAGGTGAACAAGTACGAGGTCAGGGAGGACAACCACCAAGGCACGCCCCCGCTCATGATCGTCAGAGCGACGCTGAGCCGTGCCGCTTCAAGTCCAACTTCCAGCGGGCAGCACCTGCGGAAGATACAAGTCTGGGACGTCAGGAAGGCTTTCTTCAACGCTGACTTAGACGAGACGATCTACGTGCATCCTGGGAGAGAGCTGTGTCCGCCTGGAAGGTGCTGGTGGTTACGCAAGGCCATGAACGGTACCAGGAAGGCGTCGCAGATGTGGGGTGAGCTTGTGAGAACTACTATGGACGACGGCCATTGGGAATGCTTGGTTGGAACTCCTAACGTGTTCTACTTACCTGCTAGCCCCAACACAGCCCCCTTCGACGAGGATAGCACAGCGATCTGCCATGGCGATGACTTTCTTGCTGAGGGCTACGACGAGCAGCTGGACGAGCTGGACGAGTTGTTGAAGCAGCAGTTTGAGGTCACGGCCAGCGCCAGACTTGGACCAGGAGCGGTGGGGCAGACTACATACCTCAAGAGGACGATCGGCTACACCGACAAGTTGCCAGGTTGCGAGGAGCCAGGTTTCTTCTGGACTGCCGATCCTAAGCATGTGGACTTCATGATCAAGTGGACGCAGAAGCGAGGTTGTAAACCAGCTCCCACTCCAGGGACGAAAGCTACAGGACAAGGCCGACGAGACAGCCTAGACCTTCTTTCCAAGGATCGTGCTCGAGAAGTGGCGGGTGCAGCTGGCACCGCTCTTTACCTTTCTTCGGACAGGCCCGACACGATGTACGCCAGCAAGACAGCGATGCAGCACGTCTCCAACCCGAACGTCTTGATGCATGCGCGTGTTCAGCGACTTGGAAGGTACTACGAAGGACAGCCTGTGTTGGTCTGGTGTTACCCACTTCAAGGTACTCCTGAAGGCATTCGTGTAGATGGTGACGCAGATTGGGCACCTACGAGTGAACTACAGCGGCGATCTACCAGTGGAGGAGCTGTGAGGTATGGTGATCACACTTGGGACTGCTACTCAGTGACGCAGAGTACGATAGCCCTAAGTTCAGGGGAATCCGAGATGTACGCTACGGGAAGTGCGACAGCCAGAGGACTTCAGTGTAAGACTTACCTGATCGAGACCCAGAGGCCCTGCAACCTGAAGATCTATAGTGACAGCACAGCTGGACGTGGCATGTGCAGTCGAGTTGGGGTGGGCAAGGTCAGGCACCTGGAGTTGAGGTACTTGTGGATTCAGGAGCGGTTGCGTCTCAAGGCGTTCGAGCTGCACAAGGAGGACACCAGCAAGATGACAGCCGACATGCTCACGAAGTACAGCGAGTGGCCGACAATCGAGAAGCATTGCACCACTCTCAACCTCAGGTTCGGAAAGCAGTTGAAGGGCTTGAGCGCAATGGCAGTTTTCACGGAGGTCGTGACGCAGGCGTCAGGCGAGAAGGTGACAGTGTACGGAGGTTCTGACGAGGTTGCGGTTTGCCCCGCGCCTGTCAGCCACTACGTGGACAGCGAGGAGTTCTGGTTCTTCCTGAAGTTGGGACTAGTTGGGGTGACTGCAGCCAGTGCTTTCTTACTGGGGTGCTGGTGTGGTTGTTACTTCAAGGACTTCTACGACAAGTTCCTCCTCCAGGGTGCGGTTGACCCCGCCTCTGGAAGCACGTGTATACCATCTGCGCGGGCTGAGGCCGAGTTCAAGACCGTGTGTGTACAGCAGGACAAAGGAGCAAGGCACAAGCTCTTAAGCACGTTTCTTGTAGCTGAGCTGCGAGCTGTCTTGAAGGCCAAGAGCCTGGCCGTGTCAGGGATCAAGGAGGACCTGGTCACGAGGATGATCAAGCACGGATGCGTTCTGTCGGATCGCCAGGCCAAGGAGATCGAGCAGCTGCGAGTGATGGCTACAGCGCGAGGACCTCTTACCAAGCTCAGCTTGCAGGACATCAGCAGTCCAGAGGCCGCGCAGAAGTGGATCGAGACGTTCAAGAGCGAGTGCGGAGACCGTTCCAGAGGCTCTCAGGTGATCCACGGAGAGGGCTAGGAGAATGGTCGCAGGAAGCACTACGACAGCCGAAGGTGAGCTTTCTTTTACAGGCTGCGGTTTGCCCCGCGCCTGCCCTCTGCGGGTAGCCCCGCGATGGGCTTAGGCGGGCAGCGCCGTTGCGAAGCCTGCTCAGGGAGCACAAAGTGGTTTCCCTGTGGCTCACGTTTCTCGACTGGAGGCCGAGCCGCTTCCAGCGCCCAAGGAGAGGTGCTGGGAAGTTTGTAGTTTTACATATATATGTGATTATAGAGAATATAATCAGACTGTCCTGGAGGATCCAGGAAATCCTGCAGCCCTTTGTTGCTCGAGGAAAAGAGCGACCCTCACCTCCCCCCTTTCTCCGTGAGGGGGGTGGGTGCACGTGCACCCTTGCCACCAAATGTGCAGAGTCCTCACGGGCTACCCGCGCCACGTTCCAGATGTTGCCACCACGTACACTCTGTGTTTCAGGAGGGGAAAAAGCACAGGCACAAAGAATCGTCGATCCCTCGGAAGATATGGAAAATATGGGAAGTGAAGGGGAGGACGAAACGCCAGAACATATTCGAAAATGTGGGGGGATCTTGGGATTTCATGTCTATTTATGTGCGTGTCTGGTCCCATTCAGTTTTGTGTGTGGCTGTGGGGCAGGGGCAGCGGGGCCCGGTGGTCGAACGCACGCGGGCGCCCCCACCCTCCGAGCACCCGCCGGGGACCTGGCACACCCAGCCAGTTGCCGTGAGGAGCCAGGTGAAGCCCCTCAGGGCAAGCACTGTTTGGGGAGCCGTTGGTGTGTGATGGGAGTGGGGAAGATGCTGGCACGGCCGCCCAATCGACGTTCTGCTCACATGCTGTGTGAATTACATTGTGGCACGGGAAACGACACGTTCGAGGTATCGCATACGTTTTCGATCATCTCGCAGCAGACAAAGGCTGCGCACGGGCTGCCACACCGAGCATGTCATGTTGTGTTATGCTTATTCCGCATGTTGGTCCGAAGTAAAGTAGACTGCAAGTGTTAGCCGTAGCCTTCACAAACCCATGCGGAGGTTGACTTGCTAGATTGCGTTTGCTGGCAGCACCCAGAGATCCAGACGTCTTGCCATACCCCCCCCCACGTCCACAGTTCCCTTGCATTGTTGTTGCCGTCTAGCTCTTCATTTTGGGGATTCGTGCTCTGAACCAGTCTCATATGGTTGTGCTCGGCACGTTCGGGGGATCGTCGGCGTCGTTGGCAGACTCCGTCTCCTCCTCGTCTAGCCATGATAATCCTGATCATGTCCGCGCGCCATCGATGTGGGCCGAAGAGGCCGTGGGAAGCTCCTGCCGTGTTCGACGTGCAGCTCACGGAACTGACGACGCGAGAGTTCATGGGCTTCAGGCGCGCGGGCGCGGGGGGGCCCTCGCCAGGCACGGAGGGCGAGCACCTCGAGGCATGCAGGTGGCCGCTTTCTGCCCGGGGAGAGCCCTGAGCTCTCCTCGTTGAAGACGGGCGGCCATGCTCGCATCGTGCGTATGGTGTATCTCGACGGCCCAGGCGCGGCCCTCCTACCCGAACGCGATGTGCGCTCGACCTCGCCGCTGACCAACAAACGTAGTCTAGAGACGGCTCGCAGCGAGACGTCCCGCTTCCCCCCCCCCTCTCTCATGCCCCGTGGGATTCCCACACTTGGGCAGTCCGCTTTGGATGCTTCTCCAGGCACACTTGGTGTTTGCCCACATATAGCCTCTCCGTGGTCGCTATCCACTGTTGCCGCTGTAGATACTACAACAAAAGCCATCTCCCATCGTCAATCACCCTCTCCCTCGCCCCATGTTCTTGGGATGCCCGACGCTCGCGGGAGTCCTCCTGAGCCTTGATCCCGCCACGAGCTGACGGGACGCGGCGGGCAGAATGTGGCCATCGCATCGGGATCGCTCATGGACGACGCGCCGACACCGCCATGCTACGGAGCTTCCTGCTCCTGCGCAAGGGTGCCCGTCTAGCCAGAGGAGGCAAGCTTACAGGCCGCCCAATGGGGCCGGAGCGGTCCTGAGGGCTTGTCGCCGGGGCTCAAGAGACGGGGGTCAGTGCAATCGGGGGTCAGTCAGAGCGCCGATTCTTGCAGGATCTTGCAGAGCCAGGGGCGCACTGACCTGGGTTTGGGTGCAGGTTCCTGCAGGATTTTGCAGGACCTTCCAGGATCCTGCAAAGCCTGACTGACCCGGGTCTCGATGGACCCAGGTCAGTAGATCTCCGATGTCGCCGTTTTCAGCCCCAGGCGCTGCCCAGGCCCTAGGGCCCTCGGGGAACCTCTCGGGGTGAGGAGCTGAAGACGCACCAGGAATCTTGCACGGGGCTGCACTGTCTGGGGCGGAGTCGGGAGACACAGCAAAAACAGAGTTCGAAGCGCGAGAAGTTCTACGATTACCAGCCTCGAGACTTCGAGCGCCTCGTCTTCCAATTCGTTGGGCCGGGGGCCGCTCACACTCCATTGAGTAGAGGTCCGGAGCCAGACCCCCCTCCCGCACCCAATGTCGAAACGCCGAACGAGACAACGTTCACAAGGCTGGCCCCCTTGGCGCGCGCCGCCGAGGGAGGACAGGAAAGAAGGCGCAGAGGGGCAGAAGCGGCGAAAAGGGGCAGAAGCGGCGAAGAGGAGCGGGAAGAGGGGCAGAAGCGGCGAAGAGGGGCAGAAGCGGCGAAGAGGAGGGTGAGCCTGGCCCAGGCCTCCCGGATGGGGTCGGAGCAGATGTGGTCGGTTGATCGCGCGGCATCACTGATGCATCGGCGATGCGGCTCCACGTGGAGCCCGATGTTCTCCACGCCGACGCTGTCGAGGCATCGCCAACGCATCGGCGATGCATCGGCAGTGCGGCGAAGTCCTGCGACCCCATCGGCTAGGACCCCATTTGGGCGGCCTCCAGATGGCCAGACGCCCTCGCTCGCAGGTCCCCCTCCTCTTTCAAGCACAAGTACACGCTCCTCAACACGCACGGCGCGAAGGTTGACGAGCCAGATGAGGAGCCCGCTGGTACCCAGTGGGAAGGAGACTTGGCATCGCTCGGACGTGTGCATTCATCGTCGGAGACGGAGAGAACCATTGAGAAGCATACTGGATCATCTTGCGGGCAAACATACGAAACCGAAACATGCACGGGGAATGGACATCCGAGCCATGGCAAGGAGAAGATTGGCAAGGAGGCTGTCATTTTGAGCCTAATTAGCGCTTTTCTCTCCACGCGGACGCTGCACGGTGACTGCGCCATGGTCCAGAGCCTAGTAGGCCCCGAAACGGCAGGGCCGTTTTTCACTGTTTTCAAAAAAGTGTCTTGAAAGTGGAAACCATACAAGAATGGCGACCGGAAACGGCAAGACGGCAAGACAACGGCTCCAGGATTGGAGCCCGAACTTGAACCGGAAAACAAAACGGCGACAGAACCAACAAAAAACGGCAAAACGGAACCCGTAACAAAAACGGTTTTGTCGCTTCCTGGACCCACTAAGGTCCAGAGATGTCTTGGCTGATTTTGCTGCGCGGGTGTTATGGATGTGCACGTTGCACTGGTGACCTTGCCCACCTCCCGCCCCAGAAACGCCAGCACCCCCAACAGCCAGCAGCCCCCCGTGTGCTCGTTCCTGGGCAGCTGCCCGCTGCCCTGTCACGCCTGTGGTCTAGGCCCCCCCCCTCAGCAGGTACAACGCCCAGGCCCCATGAGGGCCAGGCACTCAGAGGAAAAGGGTGGGAACGCATAGCAGGTCAGGGGGGCTCGCGCGGCAGATTCGCGCCTCGTGGATGCGGCCGCGGTTTCGGCGCGGGTGCTCGAGGTAGAACGCCAGTGGCCGGGAGCCAGCCAGCATTGAACGATCGGCGGTATCGGTCGTCGATCGCGCCAGGTTGAGCGGCCCGCGCGGGGTCAGAGACCAGCGCCGACGTCGGCACGGCAGAAGCCAGCCATGGAGCGAGTGCACCAGAAGCTCGAGTGTATTCTTTCTCTGCCTGGGTCGAGACCGTCTGGGCGGGGGTGGGATGTCTGACCCGCCGCCGGAGGAGACCATGGGGGAGCTGGACGCCACGCGGCGAAGCCAGGCCGCGTGCTGCAAGAACATGTGTTTCTTCTTGTGGCTGATATCTCGGCGGACGAAACCGGGGCCTCCAGCGGATCGATCTTCACTCAACCCTGGCGTTCCACCCCAGCGGTGTTTTGGATGCCCTGGGCCGTTGAGAATGTGTCTGGGACCAAAAAAACTTACCCCTGGGAAGGGGTCGGCCCCAGGATGGGCCAAAAAGGCTTGAGATGGGCCCCAGGCGGCCCAGGAGGGCCCCGAGACCGCCCAGGCGCGGGCGCCCCTGTGCCGGAGCAAGAGCGCCGCTGGAGCGCATCACGAACCGGGCCCTGGCTGGGGTCGGGCCACCTCCCCGGAGGACCGAACCGGGCGAGTGGATATCAGTACGGGAAGCACGGGGACGAAAGGACCGACCGCCGTTCCTACCCATTTTGGCACGGGCCCGCCGTCTGCGCTCCGTCCAACGCCGTCCGCGGCGCACCGCCACGGGGCCTCCGAAGGCGGCTCGTGGCGAGGGCTCCGCTCGGGGCTGTCTGTTCGTCCGCCGGACGTCGTTCTGCTTCCTCTTCGTGCGTTATCGGCGTGGCTGCGCCAGCCGCCGCACCAAGACTTCCACGCTGACGACGGCAATCACGCTTTGGTGCCGATAGGGGGCTTCGTTCCTTATGTAGTGTTCCTTATTGTCGCAGCTTGACCGTTCCATGGCGAAGGGCCCAACCATACGCGAGTGTACGAGTGTAAGTACCGCAGGGCAGATTGGACGAAGGAAGGGGAGCTTCCTCTTGGGCCACAAGATGTGTCAGCGGTGTGCCGAAATGGGCGGGGAGCCGCATGCGGACTCACCGACTGGGTTCTTAGGTTGAGCTCCCTGTAGGGCCACGAAACTCGAGAGGGGTGTGCCGAGATGGGCGGGGAGCCGCATGTGGACGCTCCGACTGGGGCCTTCAGTGAAGCTCCTTGCAGGGCCACGAAACGTGCGAGGGGTGTGCCGGAATGGGCGGGGAGCCGCATGTGGACGCTCCGACTGAGGCCTTCAGTGGAGCTCCGTGTGAGGCCACTGGAACGTGTGAGGGGTGTGCCGAAAGTGGTGGAGCGGCTGCATGTGGACGCACCGCCTGGGACCTTGAGTGGAGCTCCTTGTGGGGCCACTGGAACGTGTGAGGTGTGTGTGTGTGTGTGCCGAAAGTGGTGGTGGGGCGGCTGCATGTAGACGCACCGACTGGGGCCTCAGGTGGAACTCTTTGTGGGGCCACCGAAGCGTAGAAGGGGTGTGCCGACTTGGGGTGTGAGAGGCAAGGAGGGGAGGAGGAGGGGGAGTGAGTGAGCGAGTGAGTCAGTCAGTCAGTCAGCCAGTCAGCCAGCCAGCCAGCCAGCCAGCCAGTCAGTCAGTCAGTCAGTGACGCGGGGCGCTGCTGATTCAAACTGAGGAGGACATCACACCGCAGGCGGCTGGGAACAAAAACACATCGTCGGAAGTCTAGGCCGCCTACCCGCCATTGTTTTGCTCACTCCTGTGCGCCCGGGGGCCCCCCTCGTCGCCACGGCTGAGCTCGGTTCGGCTTGGCGCGCGGCCAGGGTGTTGACGATGGTCCGACGGGAGTCAGGAGGAGGACGAGGATCAGAGGCAACGTTCGGGGGGATGGGCTCAGCGGGGGGGCGCATCGACCCCCGATCGCCCAGTCATCGCCGACGAGGGGCCCGATGGCCTGCCCCGCCAGGGCCGTGCGGATTCGCCATCGGGAGCCCATCGCCGATCCATCGGCGACGTATCGCCGACTCCAGGTCGACAGTCCCACCTCCCGCGCGGGACCCATGGTGAGCTTCGGGCTCTGAGCTCGGGCCTCCGGCGGCCGCTTGGGACGATCCGGGCACCCCCGGACGCGTCTCCGCGAGGCGCAGCCGCTGGAGAGCATCCCGAGGCTGCAGACAAAGCCGCCGAGAGCCAGCGAAAGCGTCCGAACATCTCGACCCTCGCAGCAGGAGGCAGAGCAGCGAGCACCCCCCGCCGATTCTGGCCTGCGAACTGAGCGGGCGATCAGCAGGCGTATGTCCGAACGCAGGTGCGGCCAGGCCGTCCGCTCGCCATAGGTTCGAGCCTGGAGGACCACCCCCCCTCGGTTGCGCTCGGTACGGCTGACATGGGCACGGAAAGAATGGTCACGAGGAGGGACAGCAGTTCCTACCCGTTTGGAACAGGACTCCTTGTCAGAGTCTCGCCCATTCATCGCCGACGGGCCCCATAGCCCCAACTTGCACATGAACGTGCGGTTTCGCTATCGGGGGCGTATCGCCGATCTGTCGGCGATGTATTGACGATTCGAGCTCGATATTTCTTTTCCAGGCTGATGTTCTGCATTCGGTAAGACCAGAGTGTTCGAAACAAGCATGTGACGGAGACTTGGAGCTGGCTGGGGGTTCTGAGGTGGCCCAGCATTGGTTCCAGCCAGCAGGGAGGGAAGTGCGAGGTTCGAGGTGGTGGGTTCGAGAAGGTGTGTTGCCTTTTTCGGCCTCCGCGGGTCATTTTTGAGCTCCGCGACCATCAAAAACGGATCTTGGGTGAAAAACTACACCAGGTGGACCCCATGAGGGGTCCGTGGGCAGATTTTCAGCGGATTTGCCTTTATCTTATTTTTTTCATCGTATTCCTTGGGGCCCATCCAGGTCAGACCCCTGGCCTTCCCAAAGAAGACGGGCAGCAGTTCCGATCCTCTTTGAACATGACGATGTGAGGCAGAAAATCGCTTGCCCAACAGCAGCCGCTGTCGGTTTGGGACAACGTCTGTTGTTGGGTAACATACCTTGTTTTCCTAACTACTTCTCTGGCGTGCCAATATTTTGGAGGAGGAGGATGCGGAGGAGGATGGTTTCGGAAGGGTTTAAGAGGTTCCATGCGGTTCCAGCAGGTTCTGGGTGAATTTCGATGGGGGGAATGGGGCGAGGGAGGGGGCCGCACCGAGAGGGTCGCAAAAGCGAAGTCGAGGTGAGGGCATCCATGAGCGGAGGCCAGACGGATTATTGTTTTGCGTGCACGTACGAATTTGAGAAGGTGGCGATGTTGAAGAATTTTGTCGAGGACGACTTTCCGGTCCCAGAGGAGAGGAGAGAGCATTTATTGCTCCAGTTGCTGACGCATTTCTCCCTCGTGGGGAGGGGGAAAGGGTGAGGGCGAGGGAGAGTAATAGAGGGAGACGAGTGGAAAGTGGAACAGAGAGAGAGGGAGGGATACAGCAGTGTACATAAACACTAGAGAGAGAGAGAAAGAGCAAATTACCAAACACCGACGCACAAACACACGCAGATACACACACACAAACGCACATGCGCACACACACATACACACAAACAAACACACACACACACACACGCACGCACGCACGCACGCACGCACGCACGAACACAAACACACACACACACACAAACACACACACACACACGTACAAGCAAACAAACAAATCAGCCAACAAACAAACAACACAACACAACACAACACAAACAAACAAACAAACAAACAAGCTGCAACAAAGGGAGAGGGAAGCGTGGAGGGATCAGGCCAGGTGCGATCATGTTTCGTCTAGCACCCTTCTTGGTCATTCCTTGCTCGACCGCAACCCCACCCTCCGTCTTGGGACTTCCTCAATGTCCTATCGTCATCATTCTCTTTCCCTTGCACTCATTTCGTTGCAGGCCTCCCTACACCTGCTCTCGTCTCGCTCGCTCCTCCAAATTCCCATTATCCTCTGTCATTCTCTCTGATTAGGACTACGACGAAGAGAGAGGGCGAAACCTCGCAGTTGGCAACGACGCTGGCGACGACGACGGGACGACGACGACGACGACGACGACGTCCACGTGTGTCGACCACGACTGCGTTGGGCGGCAGCCCCCCCCCCGCGTGCCCCTGCAGCGCCCCTGCTTCACCGCGTGTCGAGTGGGGGAGGCCGTCGGGATACAGTCGGGCCGCTGAAGAAGGAACCCTGTTCGTTGGGGAGGGGTCAGCGTTCCTTAGATAATTGTTGAACAGCATGTCTTAGGTGTTCCATAGGTCTTCCCTGGGAAGTCGAAGTGCAACTTATGGAGAAAAGGGGCCTCGTTCTTCTAATCAGGGTGCCGTATGATTGCGTTTCGACTGTACGGCGCACGCCTTCGCGTCATAGGCGAACTGAAGTTTGATCTGCACGTGCAGGGCCCACGTCGAGTCGCAGACATGGTTACTTTTACTGCGGTTGGGATCATCACCGCATCACCATATATGCCTGGTGCCATTTCTGCGTATGGGGGCTGGCGGATCAAGTGCGAGATGACAGAGCCAGCTATCCTCAGATTGCTCGCGGATTTCTTCCAGCACACCTCTGAGGTCGTGGGGACGGAAAAGTACGCACCTTAACCGGGTATCCACCAGCTCATTTTTGGGGCCAGATGTTGGTGCATGTATCCCCCTGGCTTGCCGACCATGAGCCGTTGTACACCACCACAATGGGTTTGTGGAGGGTGTCTGGTGTATACAGAGACCTCGACGTAATCAGCGTCAAAACATAATCATTCGAAGAGGAAAAACGGCATAAGTATGAATGTTCGGAGCTGCGCGTGGATCTCTTGGATCTGCGCGGGGCCCCTTTGGCGGCGCCTCCAGCGCCGCACCTGGCGCGCTCCGAGCGCCAGAGAGGGGGATCAAGCGCGGATCCAAAAAAAAACGCGCGAATCTCCAACCGTTTATGTATATGCCATTGTTTGCCCCTCTATCTCTACAACCCTCGCCATAATCAACCTCAAGAACCTTATGATGGGTCCGCGGCACCTGCCCCCCGCTCAACGTCGGATCGAGAGGACAAGTGCTCTGGGTTCGACGCGGCTTCAGCAGAGTTCACTGCAGTTGCCCCCCTCCCTGCAAGCACGCGCGCAGGAAAAAACATTGGACTGGAGCAGCGCAGAAGAACGGGCTCGCCTTCACCGACATTCGCGCGCAAGTTGCCCGCGTGAGGTCGCGCGCACGTGCCCTCGTTCCCCATGCAGCGTGCGCACCGGCGGCCAGCGCAAGCCACCGCGCACTGTCGTTGGTCAATCGCGAGCAAGACCCATGACTTTCCGTCGCTCCTTTGGTAAAGTGTTTATGTTGGTTGCATACACACGCACGCACGCACGCACGCACGCACGCACACACGCACACTTTTTGATCTGCGAGTTGAGAGCGAGCCTCTTCCGATAGAAGCTAAGCGGGCCGCGCACAGCTTTAATTAGCAGACGGGGGGCAAAAGAAGGCGGGGCCTCACGTCAACGCCGAGAGAGGGCAAAGCCCTGCGATCAGGCGGTGCCGAAGACGAAGTGCAGGAAAAGGTACGCCTTGGACAGGAGCCCGGTGGCGAAGTCCCGGGAGGCGAAAAGCCGGTGGTGGTGCCGTCAATGGCGCTTCGAGTACACCTGCCTCATCAATTGCGGTAGAGGACGCGCCACGCAACCAGGACGACGCCCGAGAGAGGGCCACTGGGTCGGAGTGCAACGTTGTGCCACCAAATATGATGCCGAAGAGGTCCAGGCCGTGGTAGTCCAATCCACGAACATGGGAAAACATGCACACACAAACACACACACACACAAACACAAACAACACAAACACGCACACACGCAGATCGGACATCCCCGCGATAGCCTTCACAAGCGGCGCGTAAGAGATGCTCTGCGCAAAAAGCGGGGGGGGAGCCATCGCGGGGATGTCCGATCTCCTCTCCTCAAGAGAGAGTTGATGTCGGTTTTGTCGATGGTTTCGTTAGGTTACCGCAGGGGCGCGGAGTCGGCCGCCCGTTGCGCTTTGCGAGCAGGACCGCAGAGCCGTCCGTCGGCGGCGCGGGGGTGCGAGGATGGGCGCGCCTCGCACAGCGCGAGCTGGGGTGGGTGCCCCTGGCGGGCACGCTCATTCAAAACACCATGCGAATGGGATGCGGAGCCTCCGTTCCTTTTCCGTATAAATACCCTGTCGCACCCCGAGGCCAGCTTTTAGTGCGGGCTGGGCGTTTCGCCTGAGACTTCCTCACCCTGTATGATTCAGAAGCTTAATAAGTGGCAGCAGCTTCACAGATGGAGGGCGGGTGGTTTTCAAAATGTGGCTCTCGCTCCAGCGCCGGGTGCATTTGTTGCTGTATTTTTTTACACGGATATTTGAGCTACTTGTAAAGCTATTACATGCGCCCAAACTCGACAGATAGGAAGGGTTTCGCAAACATTGCAAGATTTTCACGGATTGAGGGCGGGTCGTTTTCAAAGTGCGATTCTCGTTTCAGCGCCGCGCACATTCGTTTTAAACATCTGCAAGGGCTTCACGGCTTGAGGAAGGGTCGTTTTCAAAATGTGGTTTTCGCTTCAGCACCGCGCATATTCGTTTTCAAAGTCTGCAGGAATTTCACGGATTGAGGGTGGTCCTTCAAAATGCGGTTCTCGTTTTATCGCCGCGCACATTCGCTTCCAACATGTGCAAGAGCTTCACGGATTGAGGGCGGCTCCTTTTCAAATTGTGGTTCTCGCTTCAACGCCGTGCACGTTCGTTTTCAACATTTGCAAGAGCTTCACGGATTGAGGGCGAGTAGTTTTCAAAATGTAGTTCTCGCTTCAGTGCCGCGCACATTCATTTTCAAAATTTGTAAGAGCTTCACTGATTGATGGCGGTTCCTTTTCAAAATGTGGTTCTCGCTTCAGCGCCGCGCACATTCGTTTTCAAAGTTTGCAAGAGTTTCACGGTTTCCCATGATCATCCTAAATGGTGTTTTGGAAGGATTCTGGATCATGTGGGTGCAATAGTTATGTTGATCCGCGGTGTCGAAACCCCAAAGACGGCGATCTGGTACGGTTCCAGATCGTCAAGACGCAGTTGTCAAATTGATCCGTGGCGTTGAAATCCCGAGACCAATGTGTTTGCATGCTTCAGGGTCTTCAAGCGGTCGTCTTCCAACGAGGCAGTTCCCTCAATGGAAATGAACCGCTGTAGGGGCTTATGAAGAGGGAGCTTGGAGGGAGGGTGAATTCCAATATCGTTGATGACTCTTGGGTTTACTGGTCCTTCTCCTCCTCCTCCTCCCCGTCCTCGTCCTCCCATACTCCTCCCCCTATCGGGAAAGAGGAGGAGGGAGGTGGAGGGACGAGGTAGAGGACTCGTAGAAGCCCGCCCAGACCCCTCCCCCGCCACCCCCTCCGCCCCCTGCCGGCCCCTGGCCTCAACGCGGCGGCCCGCCTTTTCCCATGACGAAGCCCGCTTGCGGCAGCACGGCGCTCATTACTTTTGGGGGTGCGCATCGAGAAACCTGATGGGCGGCGCCGAAAAACAGGTTCGATTGCGCCGACATTGGCGCGCAAGCTGCCCGTGTCAGGTCGCGGGTAAGTTCCCTTGTCTCCAATGTCGCGCGCCGCGCTGGCGGCCCGCGTACGCCGTGGCGTAAGGTCGATGCGTGACCTCGCGTAAAGCCCGTATCTTTTCGTCGCCCAGATAATGTTCGTCAGGGTATCTTGGGTTTCTTCGCTGCGCGGTGACTGCCCGCGGGTGTCAAGGAACCGCTGCGCTCAGGGTGCTTAAGGTTGTCCCCTCGGGTACACCTCGCGCGCGGACATAGGCTTCTTGCGAGGGTTTCTCGCGACCGCGTCTACAGTGCATCCCCGCGAGGGATCCGTACACTATGCCGACCTGGCTCACAACCACACGGGCATAAAGGTTCCAGACGTGGTGGTGTCGGGCCTCAGCAACGTGACGCACCACGCGCTCCACCACGGCTCGCGCATCGCGGGCGTTGCAGGTATCCGGGCTGAGGAGCCATCGAAGCGCCTTTGTCCGCTTTTTTGGGGGAGTGTCGGCGGCGCGCCGAGGAGAGAAGTGAGATGGGACATGGTTTCTCAGAAGGCGGCGGGGCTTCTCAGAAGCCACCTGGTCTTCTGAGAAGCACCCTGTGGTTTCGGAGTAGGCTTAGAAAGCTTTTCAGAAGGCTGGTGGCCTTCCAAGCCTTCTGAGAAGGACCGTCCCCTTTGGGTGAGGAGGCGAACGAGGAAATCCAGCCGCGAAGCGCGAAATTCGGCCCCGAACGGAGAATCTGTTCTCGGTCGAACGAGGAAAGTCTCCGGGGGCTCCTGTTTTTTTTTTCCGGTCGAAGGGTTTTTTTCCCAACCATTTTGTGGTGTTGGGTCCTCGTTTTGTTCCTTCCTTCCTCCTCCTCCTCCCCCTCCTCCCTCCTCCCATCCCTGCATCCTCTCTGTTTCGGCACACTCCTCATACGTTTCCTGGCCCCATAAGCAGCTCCACCGAAGGTCTCAGTGGTGCAGTTCGCATGTGGGCGTCGCGCCCGTCTTGGCACACCCCTCACACGCTTCGTTGCCCCGTAGGGAGCTCCACCGAAGGTCCCATGGCTGCAGTTCGCATGTGGACGCCCCGCCCGTTTCGGCACACCCCTAACAAATTTCGTGGTCCAATGGGGAGATCCACCGAAGGTCTCCGTGGTGCAGTTCGCATGTGTGCCTCGCGCCCGTTTCGGCACACCTCTCACACGTTTCATGGCCCCATAGTGAGTTCCACCGAAGGCCCAGTGGCGCAGTTTGCATGTGGGCGTCAAGCATGTTTCGGCACTCTCTCACACGTTTCGTGGCCTAGGGAGCTCCACCGAAGTTTCCGGTGGGAGAGTTCACATGCACACGCCCATTTTTTCAAATCAGCACGCCCCTGACACGTTTGTGGCGCCATAGGGAGTTCCACCGACGACGATCCTCACAACTGCGGCACTCACAACTGCATCTGGTTGGGTCCTTCGACAGGCTAAGTTTGGGTTCCAACGAGGAAATTTCCTTGGCCGACGGAGGATTGGGTCTTGGTGCTATCACGTGTGTTGCTGGATGCAGGCTGCCCTAGAAATTGAAACCGCTGGAGAGCACGGGCGGGGGCATTCGGCTTTTGTTGTCGAATTTAGTGTTGGCAGTTCAGTTTCAGTTTCCACTTCCATAGCCCTGTCGCCTAGGATCCACCTCTCAGGGTTTCCCCCGGTTCGGTTCACTGGGTCCCCCAGTCAACCGGGGGCGGCCGGCAAGTGAATTGCCCTGAAAATCTGTGTCCGCGGTAGCAGTTTCGAGGCAAGGCACAGTTTTCATTCCTGGGGCGAGTGTTCTTGCAAAGTGGGGCGCTCCAGAATTGGCCGTGCCTTGGAATCGAAGGAATTGCCGCTTCCTCCACAGCGGAAGGGCGGCGGAAGCCCGCGGAAGCATAACGAGGCCGCCTCCGCCCGCGGAAGGCCGGCGGAAGCCGACGGTAATAAAAGATGCGCCCCCAAAAGTTGACAGCATGTTTGGCTTCAGGGTTTCCGAAATCCACCAAGTGGAGAATGTGTCTTCTTTTGTCAAGGCGGCGGGAGGCTGAGGTGGAGGAGGACGACGACGAGGATGACGATGGAGGATTGGTGGAAAGAGGGGGGAGGAGGAAGAAGAAAAAGGCAGGGAGAGGAAGGGCATGGGCTGAAGAAGCGGGAAGCTCTTCGGAAAAACATGTAAGTTTTCAAAATTCTAGATGCTTCGCGCATCCCCACCAGCATCATCGTGGTTCAGACTCGTGAGTGGTTTCGGATTCGCTGGCTGGTCGGCCCCACCATGGGCAACGGTGTGGATCGCGGAGTGAGCGCTCTGTAGGTTCCTGCCTCTTCTGCCCCTGTTTTTGCCGACGTCGACACGGCTGTGGTACCCTGGTACTACCTGCCCGGGTTAGGTCGGCCGCGCGGACTGGCGCCAACAGGGCGACTCTCCGCTGCCGAATGATGAGCATTTGGCTTATTGCACGCGCGCTTGCATTCATTGCATGTCTTACTGCAGGTGCTTGCCGGTTGTAGTTATGCGAGCTGGCTTGCCGACGCTGGCGGCTGTGTTCGCAAATTCGCACCGTTCCGCCGCCCCGGACGTCGCTCTCGCTCCTTGGCGGTCGTTTAGGAGCCGCCAACCAAAAAAAATATCCCCACCAACCCGGCTTGCGCGTTGCCAGTTAGATCGGCCCGCGGCCCGGACCTTTCGACTCGGCGCCTGCGCGTCCGCTTGCGCCCGCGAGAAAAAGTACCCCCACCAGCTGCCCATCTTTGCAGCGCGTTGCACGCGTGCACCCTGGCAGTGCAGCCTCCCAGCAGTTGCCGTCGGCCCCCTTTCCATTTGCCGGCTTGGCCGCCGAGGTGCTGCGTGAGGCTTCGGCCCACCGCTTTACGTTAATTCGTTTTTTTGCGCGGCCCGCTCTGACTGGACTCGCCGCTGGCGCTCTCGCCTGCGGCCGCTGACAAAAAGTATTCCCACCAGCCCATCCAGAAACGATGTCCAGGCGAGTGGAGGTGATCAGGGAATTGCGGGAAAAAAGAGGGGGACGGCCGCACCGTGCGAAGGAGGGGGGAGGAGGAGAAGGAAGAGGCTGGATGGATGGATGAAGGAGCGGGGAAAAGGAATATTAATAGGATGAGGAGGAGGAGGAGGAGGAGGAGGAGGAGGAGGAGGAGGAGGAGGAGGAGGAGGAGGAGGAGGAGGAGGAGGAGGAGGAGGAAGAGGAGGAGGAGGAGGAGGAAAAAAAGGAGCAGGAGAAGGAAGGAGGAGCAGGAGGAGGAGGGCAAGCCAGAGCAGTTGCAACCAGAGCAATTGCAGCCAAAGCAATTGTACCCGTCGCCACTGCCAGAGTAATTGCAGCCAGAGCCTCCGCGCTCAACGATGTGTGGGGCCCACTCCCCGCCCGGAACCGTGCCAGCACGAGATAGAACAAATTCTGCAGATGGGCTTGCACATTCCAAAGAAGACAGGGGCCATTCCGCCCTAGCTGCAAAATACTCACCGACACCTTGGCCGCGGACCGCCTGGTACGCGCCCAGAACGAGCCGCACAAGATAAACGGGAAGTACTTCGGCAGCATCGTCTACGTTGCGGTTTAGGCTCAACTCCGCGGCCACGCGGTGCACCTCTGGACAGCCACCACCAGTGACAACAGAAGGTGGGCGCCGACGGACGGAGGCGAGTGGGCCTTGCTACAGCAATGCACCTCCTTCACCGAAGCGCACCACGTCCTGTGTATCCTGGCCAACTGCATACCGGGCTCAGCTCGAAGGAGAGAAGCGTCCGACCGCTTTCCCGATCAATGCCAGTGCGGGCGCGCAGCCAGAAGGGTGTCGTTGACAGCCGGCCAAGGCGACCCAGGGGCCGCATAGTGCAACACCAGCTTGGGCCCATGGGCTGGCCAGTCCGACCTCTGGCCCTTGCTTGAAGACGCGGCGCTCCCGGACGAACTCCTGGAGGAGGCCGCGGCCCGAAGGCGCAGCGGACCAAGCATCACCGTGCGAGAGAGGCAAGGCCTCTACGGTTCTTGCCTTCTCTGCGGGATGGGCGAAGACAGCACGGAGCACATTTGGTCATGGTGCCCGGCCGCCACTCTAGCCTGGAGACGCGCAAAGGCGCAAGACCACCCACAGGACCTCGGGGAGGCCGTGGCCACCCCTGGTGAGCATCAGAGACTCGTCTGCCGCCTACTGCACCAGATCTCCTACAGATACTGCGTCAATCTGGACTGCGCACCCTTCGACGCAGCAGAGACAACCATATTCATCCTCCAAGGCATCGTCGTCCCAGATTGCGACCGGCAAGGGGACAGCGAAGGGGAGGACGATTGGCACAAGGGCCTTCACCCCCCCGCGCGAGATGAAACCGCCGCGTGGGCTCCAATGCTCACCGCCTGTCAGGCTTGCAACCCGCAGGGGAGCCTCGCGCCGCGCATCTGTGGCGCAGCCCGACCGCACATGCAGCGCCAGGCACCTAGGGCCGGCGGGGAGGTCCGCAGGCTTCCCGTCGCGACCGGCTCCGTAGAGTCGGGGGGCCGTCTCGCCACACTGCAGGCGGACGACCTACGGGCAGGTAGGATACCTCCAGGGCGCGAGTGGTTTCCGTGGCCGGGAGCGGACCCCAGCCCAACCGTCTCTTGGACACGCACCTATTGCAGGGCCTGCGACTCTCACACCTTGGCTCTGTGTGCCACGCGCCACTTGGCTCAGGGAGACGAGATTACTGTGCACAGCGCACCCTTCACAGCTGCTGACACCGCCCAGTGGCCCCACGAGGTTACCTTCGACGGGGAGGCCAGACATATCGCTGGAAGAGGCAAGGTTGCACGAGCCGGTGCCTTACTATGGCGAGACGACCCCAGGACGGGATGCCCCGTCGTCGTCGCCGCAGTTGTCGTGGTCCTCCCGGGGGACGACAGCGCGCAGACCGCCGACGCCACGGGATGCCGGGCTGGCATCGCCCTGCTCCCGCACTTCGATGGTCCAGTCAGGGGTGCCCGGGTGGTCGGCGATAACCTGCGGTCATCCGCTACGGCGCAGGAACGGGCCGCTACAGACGGCTCCACCTGGCACAGCAGATGGATTGTGCCTTTCGACAAGATGCCAACAGAGGCGGCAGGCCGTGCGCCGGCGGCTGAACCAAGCGGCAGACAGCCTAGCCACGCCGGGCGTGCACTGGGCGGACAACCTCCGCGTTGCCGGCCACCGAGGCGCGCGCGCGCGCCCACGTCGCCTGGGCTGAGCAGCCCAATTCACTTCCCCCAGTATACCCGCGCCGGGACACGGACCTTGCCGCCGCGCCGTCCGCTCCTGGAAAACCCTTCCTACCCCCCCCCCGGCTCCCTCCCCCCGCCCACTGGTGCCTCTCTCAACGCTGAACGCGCAGCCGTTAGCTGTCCCCTGGCATGACCCGCAATGACAAAGGCCCGCTAAGACGCCTGCCCTCGTGCGTGCCCCAGTCGGTGGAG